AGAAAAGGTTACCTTTTGTGAATGGCCAGTTTTTCGTCGATTCTATCATTTTAGCTAGGGCTAGGTCTGGATGTCTGCTGCACGTTGAAGATCCTGCCGTTCCCGAGTTTTGCCTCTTCACAGGGTTTAATTTCCTCTTATCTGCTAAATCAGATGAGTTAACCCTACGACCAGTTTTACTCGCAATTGTCGGAGCTATTGTTTTTTTTTTGGTCAGAACGCTAAAAAAGTTTTATGATTAAGTGTCCATTGCCGAGCTTTGATGTGTTTTCAGAATCAAGAAAAACTCTCTCTTTTAGAGGTCTGATATACGGTTGTCCTTTTCGATATAACGCTTTTCTGAAACAGTTATCTCCTTTTGTGAATGTGTTCGACAGTGGGGTTCTGAGTTTTACGGCTGCTGCTTTATCCGTAGGGTCACTCTCAAAATTTTTCTGATCCTGGGACAATTTCTCAATGTAACCATTTTCAATCTGGCTAATTTCCGCCCAGCTGTGCGCTATTGCATGTGACAAAACTGATTTTGATTTATCAAAACTAAATACCTGCTTGACAATTTTTTCTCCAAAAAAACATCAGGCAATCTATAAGAAATTTTGATAAAATATGTGCATCGAATTGATGGTTTTTTGTCAATCGAAGGTTGCCATTGATTTTATCAATTGCTAAAATTAAAGTAGGTTTTGGTTCGTAGAGCTGCATGGCTAAAAACTTTGATTTCACTGTTTAATTTAGTCGTTTTACCACACCACTTGATCTATGATCTTCAACTGTACCTAAAGTTAAATTAATAAGATTCATTTTGCCGAATTTTTTAAAATCGTTTCAGATAAAACACGACCCACTATCAATGGGTTTTTTGTAAAATCAAGAAGATTGCAGTTTTTGGATAACTACTTTACAAGGGATTGAGTTGCGGTGTTGCCCAACATTTTTCTCGATGCGAATCTTGAGAAACGGTTGATGCAAGGAATGATATATTACAATTCATCTCATGGTTTATTCAGAGCGCCAGCAAAATCAAAAATGATTTGTTCTTTAAGGTTAAATGGGTTTGAGTAGATTCTCAAAATTTACTTCGTCCAAAGAATATTTAGGTTTCTACCAGCTTTGTTCCATTCTGAGCAGGTGTACCGTAGAAGTAAAGGTTTCTGTATAGTTGAGGGCTCAAAACACTTTCTGGCCGCGCCTTTTTTTCTAAAAATTTAACTAGGATGCGTTTTATGAAGATAGATCTGACAGCTGTTGGAAGTACCGACTTGTTGTCAATAGATAGCGGTCCATCTTTGAAATGGAAGTCCCGTTGGAAAGTCTAGATGATATCTTCGAACTTTTCCAGTAGTCTTTCGTTTTCAGCTGCGTTTTTGAATTCTTTCAGAATTTTCTCGTCATTCATCGTTATTTTAAATTGTTTGAACAATGGGCGACAAATGAGATGGGAAAGTAGTTAATTCCAATTCTGACATATAGTTTTGTTTAATATATTTTGATAGAATTGAGACATTTCTGTCTAATAATTTGATGAAAATCCTGGTTTTTCAGCGTTGTTAGTGATTTTTTTAAATGGATTTTTTGAAATGAGAGTAGTTCAATTTTATCAAGTTGATTCTTATCTAGAATTGTTTTAAGTAAGAATGAGGCAGTCGGAGCTTTCAGGGCATTCAGGGCTTCGCTCTGATATGAGCAGTTTTTGTAAATATTTAAGTTTATCGTCAATCACTAGCTTTTTAAATGGATAAAAAACAAGACTGCTCGCATCTGGGCGAAGTCCCGAATGTTCCGACTGCCTTTTAAGGTCTATGGAGCAGTAATGATGTGAAAAAATTTAAAGTATTACAAACAAAAAGATTTTTTTTTAAATTTGAAATCTGTTGCAAAATTTATCCCCCGCCACATGCCATATAAAAAAGAAAGTGATAATTTTCGTTCCTAGTAACAAATCAATTATGGCAGATAAACTTCCTTCAACGAATTTGGAACTGTTTCTAATACTGACTGAATCTCCGCGTACGCGTTAATAGCGCGAAATATATTGCGCGTTAAATGTCCCAAATAGGCCTAAAAGGTAATTTTTAAGCCCCCAGAAATCTACAAAAAATAATCACAGGTGAATTTTTTTTCAAATTCAAGCTCAGGACAACAATACATTTTGAATTAATTTGTAAAATTCCGCCAAAAATGGCTAGTTAAAAAGTCGAAATTTGACTGAAGAAAAAAACCACCCGAGCTTAAATATTCTATTACTCTTGTTGCGAAAGTCGGAAAAATAATCATTTTGAAATGAAAGTATGGTTTTTATTCACAGGGATGTGTTAAAATAAAATCAGCTTCAGAAAAACCAGTAATAGCTGCTTTCTTGAATTCGTTTTTAGTTCCCTCGTCATGCTCCTGAAATTAGGTCTTCCAAAAAAATTAATTTTTGGAAGACCTAATTTGTCAACCAAGTCAAAGCTAAAGGAAACTTCTGCGTTAACAATAGTAGCTGAGAATTAATTCTTTTTGATTTGGAAAGAGCAAAGTGTTTTCCTAAGGCACATGTATACAGATGGTTAAATGCAGCAGCTCTCATCTCAGTTTTTTGAAAGCTCTATTTTTTGCTCCTGGAGTCGAAAAGTTATTTACAGAACAGTGAAATTGTCATTGAAGTCAAAGCAAAGAGAAAGTATCCTTATTAGCAGTTTTCTAAATCAAACATTGAATGGCAATTGAAAATCAAATCTGTTCTTTTCGGGCAAATAAATTCTTTTCGAGCATATGTAAGGATAATTAAACTCAGCTGCAGAAAAAAAGTTGCCCTTTTTCGGAATAATTTCTCCAAATGAAATCATAATGTTGACTTTTTTCAGTAAAGAGTAAGTTTGTATTTACTTGCCACACGTAAACTTGAAAAGGGAACAGTTTTCAACCGAAAATTGTTTTTCAAGTTTAAATAATTGATTAAGAAAATTGGCTCAGTCGCGTTAAGACTAGACTGAGCCTGTTTTCAGGCGTCTCAGAGTTTAAATAATTGATTAAGAAATTGGATATAAGCTAAAAGAACGAAGTTAAAAATTAAGAAATGTTATACAAAAACGTCACTTGAGAGAGCGCGTTAAGACTAGACTGAGCCTGTTTTCAGGCGTCTCAGAGTTTAAATAATTGATTAAGAAATTGGATATAAGCTAAAAGAACGAAGTTAAAAATTAAGAAATGTTATACAAAAACGTCACTTGAGAGAGCGCGTTAAGACTAGACTGAGCCTGTTTTCAGGCGTCTCAGAGTTTAAATAATTGATTAAGAAATTGGATATAAGCTAAAAGAACGAAGTTAAAAATTAAGAAATGTTATACAAAAACGTCACTTGAGAGAGCGCGTTAAGACTAGACTGAGCCTGTTTTCAGGCGTCTCAGAGTTTAAATAATTGATTAAGAAATTGGATATAAGCTAAAAGAACGAAGTTAAAAATTAAGAAATGTTATACAAAAACGTCACTTGAGAGAGCGCGTTAAGACTAGACTGAGCCTGTTTTCAGGCGTCTCAGAGTTTAAATAATTGATTAAGAAATTGGATATAAGCTAAAAGAACGAAGTTAAAAATTAAGAAATGTTATACAAAAACGTCACTTGAGAGAGCGCGTTAAGACTAGACTGAGCCTGTTTTCAGGCGTCTCAGAGTTTAAATAATTGATTAAGAAATTGGATATAAGCTAAAAGAACGAAGTTAAAAATTAAGAAATGTTATACAAAAACGTCACTTGAGAGAGCGCGTTAAGACTAGACTGAGCCTGTTTTCAGGCGTCTCAGAGTTTAAATAATTGATTAAGAAATTGGATATAAGCTAAAAGAACGAAGTTAAAAATTAAGAAATGTTATACAAAAACGTCACTTGAGAGAGCGCGTTAAGACTAGACTGAGCCTGTTTTCAGGCGTCTCAGAGTTTAAATAATTGATTAAGAAATTGGATATAAGCTAAAAGAACGAAGTTAAAAATTAAGAAATGTTATACAAAAACGTCACTTGAGAGAGCGCGTTAAGACTAGACTGAGCCTGTTTTCAGGCGTCTCAGAGTTTAAATAATTGATTAAGAAATTGGATATAAGCTAAAAGAACGAAGTTAAAAATTAAGAAATGTTATACAAAAACGTCACTTGAGAGAGCGCGTTAAGACTAGACTGAGCCTGTTTTCAGGCGTCTCAGAGTTTAAATAATTGATTAAGAAATTGGATATAAGCTAAAAGAACGAAGTTAAAAATTAAGAAATGTTATACAAAAACGTCACTTGAGAGAGCGCGTTAAGACTAGACTGAGCCTGTTTTCAGGCGTCTCAGAGTTTAAATAATTGATTAAGAAATTGGATATAAGCTAAAAGAACGAAGTTAAAAATTAAGAAATGTTATACAAAAACGTCACTTGAGAGAGCGCGTTAAGACTAGACTGAGCCTGTTTTCAGGCGTCTCAGAGTTTAAATAATTGATTAAGAAATTGGATATAAGCTAAAAGAACGAAGTTAAAAATTAAGAAATGTTATACAAAAACGTCACTTGAGAGAGCGCGTTAAGACTAGACTGAGCCTGTTTTCAGGCGTCTCAGAGTTTAAATAATTGATTAAGAAATTGGATATAAGCTAAAAGAACGAAGTTAAAAATTAAGAAATGTTATACAAAAACGTCACTTGAGAGAGCGCGTTAAGACTAGACTGAGCCTGTTTTCAGGCGTCTCAGAGTTTAAATAATTGATTAAGAAATTGGATATAAGCTAAAAGAACGAAGTTAAAAATTAAGAAATGTTATACAAAAACGTCACTTGAGAGAGCGCGTTAAGACTAGACTGAGCCTGTTTTCAGGCGTCTCAGAGTTTAAATAATTGATTAAGAAATTGGATATAAGCTAAAAGAACGAAGTTAAAAATTAAGAAATGTTATACAAAAACGTCACTTGAGAGAGCGCGTTAAGACTAGACTGAGCCTGTTTTCAGGCGTCTCAGAGTTTAAATAATTGATTAAGAAAATTGGATATAAGCTAATTTAAATCTCAGGAAGAACAAGAAAACTCTCCTCGTCGTTTAATTTCTTTAGCCAAATAAATTTCCATTTTCAAAACAATGACAACAATTCACTTAGCGCAGATTGTGATATGGCTAACTGTCGTAAGAACAGACCCATTGAGTACCAGGTTAGTAAGTTTCAAATAAGTATCGTTTTAAGATATCTTCTTTCTGCAGCAATCAATTTTCTTCTAAAAAATCACCCAAGCTATGGTTCAGGATACACAAAAAATTTCTTTATTGTTTGGCAGAAAAAAACATTTGTTACAAGGTTTGTTTAATGAAAACCACAAAATCTAGATATTTTAGCATGAAAACCAAATCATAAAAAATCGCTCACATGGTTTTTTAACATTGGTAGATAAAACCAGATGCTAAAAAACTAACAAAAACAAATTTAAAAAACGATTACCTAATTTCTGATATTTTTTGTATTTTTCGTCATGAGATTTCTTAGATTAATATTTAAATTCATTTACATGCAAACAGCCAACAATTTATTAAACATCTCTAGGGGTCTAACCGAGAATTCAAATTTTGTTCGATTACTTCCCGCTGCTCTACGCAATCACACCCCAGTTTGACCTCCTTAAACAAAACATTTCTATCATACCAATTCATAGTGAAAAAATGCTTCTCATACAATTGAATATTTGGAGTCTCAGGAGAACAAACTATCATACAGTTTCAATAAACGAAAATTGTGTGATATACAGAGAGCGGGAAAAGGTAATTTTTTTTTTAAAAATTTTCGGCCGGATAAAGTACTTGTTTAATTTTTTGGAGGCAAACCTTCAAATATTGTGCTATAAATGCATTAACCAACACATTTGCACGTTTTCCGTCTATCTTCTGACAATCACGCAGTTTTTGCCTAAAAATATTGATGAAATATTTCAACTTTACAGGTTTTCATCCACGCTTAAACGTATTTGGCTGAATTTTTTCATCACAAACTTCAGTGAATGATTCTTTTAAAAAATTTTGCAGTTTTTCGGGAAAATCAACGCATATCGATATGTTTTGCCTACTTTTAAAAAAATTTTATACTTTTTTTCCGCTGCCTTGCGATAAATTGCAAAACAAATCCCCCCGCCCCTAAAGGGTGCCTCCCTTCAGTATAATTTTACATCTATTTTTGGCTGACCAACCTCAAAACTTTTCAAAAGGCGCCTTAGTCGCCAATATAACTAATTTTAAAAATTTCTGCCCCCCCCCCTTTAAAAATTTCTGCGCTAGCCACTGGTTTATTATTTTGTCTTTTTAATCACAAACTTAAGACGCCTTTAGAAAAATTTAAGGGTACTTTGGCTGAAAAAAGATTTCATAAAAAACACCACAGGTGGGACCCTTTGGTTTTTGAGGTGGTCGAATCCCTAAGAGGAGGCGGCCGCCGAAACCCCCCTGCATTCTGCCATCACCGCCTAAATCTGCCCCTGGCTCGAACGAACTTTTCCCCAACCCCCAAAATTTTTTTTATTGCGCTACCACAATTTAACATCTTTGTTTACTAAAAAACCATGCCAAAACCACGTTTTGTGTGAACTCAGATTGGTTATAACGCTGTGTAAAAATTCATTCATAAAATTAAATGGCATATCTACTAATGCAATTTATCTAAAAGATGCTTGCGTCTGAACCAGTGTTTTTGTATTATATGATGAAAACCATGATTATCGTGTTTTCGGACAAAAGTACGAAGCAAAACTGAGAAACCAAAACTTCGATTTATGGAAAAAATGCTGGTCTTATTTTTTGTATGGAAAATTGTAATAAAAAAATTTCATTAGTTTTTTGGAAAATTTTTGAACTATAAGACATGAAGTCTTTCATTTACAAAAAGAGTATAATTGGAAGTTCCGGTCTTCAATTGGTCTTTGAGTCAATTGAAGTCAATTGATTCTATCAATTGATTCTTTGAGTCAATTGATTCTATCTCATTTAATTGGTCCCGAGACATTCAATTGGTCTTCGTACAGAACTGTATGTCGCCTGCTAAAACACCGTGAAACATTTCTACAGTTGATGAGATAGAATCAATTGGCCCGTGTGTCGACGTCCGCGCTTTGAGGGGAATCGTACGGTTGATCACAAAATCCAACCAATGTTAGCTAATGAAAATTACTGGTTACCGAGAAAGTTAGACCAAAATAAATAGCCCTGAAACCTAGAAAAGAATAATTGAAAATTTGTTTTTTCAATAAAAGCTTTGGGTAACAGTTTTTTGAAATGTAATTTGATGTTAGATGGTCAAAAAAAATATTTGTAAATACCTTTGAATTCTACTACCAAAATTTACTTATGAGAATATGCATTTCAAGCACTGATCAAATTCAAAAATTAAAAAAATTTTTATAGATGGTTTCAGACATTGAGAAATTGAATTATTGACTGAACTATTTTCTAGACAGTATTTCTGCAAAACTTGCAATAAAAGTTTGCTTTTTATCCATTTATAACAATTACAGTAAACGTGATTGCAGTCAAAAGTGTTAATGACAAAAAAATTCGATATTAGTGTTTTAAATCATAATTATAATAATGAAATGTTTCCAAGTGAAGTCATTATAAGAACGAAGTCAAAAATTAGGAAATGTTATACAAAAACGTCACTTGAGAGATCACCATAAGACTAGACTGAGCCTGTTTTCGGGCGTCTCAGAGAAAACGGTCTTTGAAACCCTTGTAGATAAGGAAACAATACACTTGAAATGAGAGCCCAGCGTGCTCATGAAAATTGAAAGGGAAAAAATCTTACCTTTTGGCAGAAATGGAGATTAGGGGCTTACCAGAATCAAAATTTTTATAAAAAAAGGTTGCCGAAAAACAATGAAGGAGGCAACTTCAGATTAAATTTATCAGGTCACTATTAGCTTGAAAACAGCTATCTAAAAATTGATGGTTGAAATTGTTTAGTTCCAGGTTATTAACTTTTTTCAAATCATTTCTGTAAAATAAGGGAACAAAAAAGGAAACTGTTGAAGAGGACACGAGCTCAAGCAGCAATCGAGTGCTGCAAAAAATGGTAAAATGAACCGATTTGAATCAGAAAAGGAAATTATCCAAAATAAAAATACAAATTAAATGCAAAATTGTTGAAAACCCTGTCAATACGGCTAAACAAAACTTTTTTATTGATAATTTATAGTTATTTACCTTTATTCGAAATTTAATTTTTCCATCATGAATTTGCAAGTGCTATACAGCTTGCACGAGTTAAAGGACGAGCCATTGGACATTAGGGTCTTACTTTGATGGAAGCTTACGACCTGGAGCTCAATTTAGCCAAACCTCATTCTTAGTTTCCAGTAATGACCACTGTTAGTAAAAAAAAAATTAGTCTCTCTTATAACAAAAGGCCATTCCTGAATAACAAAACTTGGCTGACTTCTAAATTCAATCATAGGTATCAATTTACAGAATTCCGAATAAAAGCAACCAGTTCAACAAGTTTATTTTAAGAGGAACACGTCTTATCTGAAATGTGTGGGTTATAAAAAAGTTCTTAAAATAGATTTTTTTAATGTGGTATATTGTTTTCTTTGAAACTCGTAGCATGACAATCGTTTTCAGAAAAAAATCAATAATTTGTTTTGGTTTCCTTGAGTTTGCTGGAACTTTTTGAACTCTCGGTTGGCAAAAAGAGGACTATTCGAAAAACATACAGCAACATTGCAATTGTAGTCATAAACAGGAAATTTCAAAAGGGTCACTGAACTCAAGAAGACCAAAACAAACTCATTCTTTTCTATTGAAAAGAATGTAAAATTTTGAGCTTCAAATAAACAATAAACCAGGTTAAAAATCTTTTTCAGTTTCAAGATTTTTTCTATGATTGACGCATTTTTGATAAAAACAATTTTTACTTATTGGATATTTAATTTTAAAAATTGTGTCAAAAGTATTAGTATCAACAATCAACAAATGAATTATTGAAGTCAAAAGAATGATGAAAAATCTGGTGTAGTGTTCAAATGTCAGTTAGGACGCCGGTATCAATCGCACAATTTTTGTTTTAATTACACACACTTTCAAATCAGTCGCACATTATTATTCACACGAAACATATATTAAGGTTGATGCCCTTTGACGATGTGCATGTTGGTATCAAACTTCACTCAGCTTTAGCGATTGAGTCCCTGGCCACAACAACGTCACTTCAGTGCACAATGCAGTGTAACGGGCATGAACTGTGTTTGTCTACAAACTTATGCGGAAACCACCTTTGCCAGCTAAACAAAATTGATATGCATATGGCCAATGATTCTGATAAAATAGCAGATCCAGCATGTATTTATTCGGGAATGAAGGTAAATTCAAAACCAAACTGTAAGGAGAATGGCGCAACAAAAAACATTCAGGATGATGAAAACCCAGGTTTTTGCAAAATAAATCAGAGAAGGTCGGATCAAAGCTGTTCAGACAGTTGGGAGGAGAAAATCGACTTTATTCACGATAGCCACTACAAAAGGTATCTGTACCAATCAGCCAGCGGATTTTCTTTGCACGGAGGAGTTTCTTGTCAAGATTCTGAAGAGATACTTGAATGGTATGTATACGTTAATAGAACTGCAGATTTTGATAATGCAAGTCAAACGTGCCAAAACATGGGCGGCAAGCTTTTTGATAACTTTAAGCCTTTTAAATTACTTCATCTTGTGTGCAACGATCTTGCTTACCCTCATTGGACATGGCTAGGATTGAACGATCGAGATAATGCAGGGGTCTACAAAAACGTGTCGGGTGGTGTTGTTGACACTGCTGGGATTGCTTGGGCTGGAATCATAACGTCTCCAGGCGGAAAATGCCTTGGGGTGCGATGCAACAAAATAAGAAATACTGGGCGTATTGATAAGACTATCGACAAATACATTTGCGATCAATTTAGTTTGCATATAATTTGTGATTTATCTAACGCGAAAAAGCCAGAAAATTAACAAATTCGTTTTGGCTCCTCAATGCATGATTATAAGATAAAATTTGATACGATCTAGAGATACCGAAATTTTGAGGAGGAAAAACAATTTGAAGAAATTTCGCGAACGCGCCGTATAATAAAACCAACGGCTTGTAACGTTGCCATGGCAGAATTTAGGAGTTTCATAGAATGTAGTTACATTGATCAACCGTATAATCTCCAACCTACCTCCTAAGTGACCAGCCCCAAAATGCCCTCCCCTGCTGCCCATTAATTTTAAATATTATATCCGCATAATGTATGCGTTTCAAACGATTGTATGCGTTTTCAATAATTTTTTAAGAATCAAAGCGTGGTTTCTATTATTAGATTGTTGATTACTGCAAAAAATGACTTCAATTCTTGGTGACGTTATAGTTGTTTTAGCAGTGTGTCAATTGATCTCTTTTATTCAAATGAGTTTCTATAGAAAAAGAAAGATTTTTTAAATGAGCGTTTCCACTTTTTAACAAATAGGAGTTTCACTCATTCGTAAGAGAAAAGATTTTGGGTATAATTTTAAAGCCTCATAAGAGAAGCTTTAGCACCTTAAAACATGCTTTTTGTAGCAGTAGTAGTATGCATATAGAGCATTAGGATCGGAGGGTTGTCATATATGGATGACCATTAGGTATAGATCCTAATGATCACTATGTATTATATCACAACCAATATTTCTCATGTTTTACGCGATAACCAATCGCTCTATGTATTAAGTGGTGATCTGCAATGGTCCCTATGTAGATTGCTTCCCGAAAAATTTTTCAATTCAGTAAAAATTTCAAAAAAAAAATTTTCAAAATTTTTTTTTCAAAATTTTTTTTTCCAAAATTGTTTTTTTCCGAAACCTTTTTTAATTTTTTTTTTCAATTTTTTTGCATTAATAATAGATGATCCCCAATTATATCAATGTAAAACTAATGATCTCTGTGCTTAACTAATCGTCTCTATGTATATAACTAATGGTCCCTATGGATTATAATTATTGATCCCTGTGTATAATTATAGATCTCTGGGTATACCTAATGATCCCTATTTCTAACTATTAATCACTATGCATGACTGATTACCCCTATGTATAACTACTTCTCCCTTGTTAACAGTAATGAACCCTATGCTTAGCTAATTACCCCTATAAAGAACTAATTCGTCCTACGAAACACTGCTGATCCATGTGTGTTACTGATGATTCTTTTATATAACTAATGATCCCTAGGTATAACTGATAATTTCGATATATAACTAATGATACCTTTACAAAACGAATGATCTCTGTGGTAGCTAATGATCTCTGAATATGACTTATGGTCTCTATCTATAATTAATGATCCCTATGCTTACCTAATCACCCCGATAAATAACTTATTCTCCCTATCTTACACTAATGATCCATATGTATCACTAATGGTTCCTATAAAAAAAATTATAATCCCTACGTATTACTATTAATCCCTAAAAACAATTAATGATCCCTATGTAAAACTAATGATCTCTCTTATAACTAATGATATCTAAATATAGCAAATGACCCAAAGCTTACAAAACGTAAAAATTGCTTAAGCTAAAGTCAAAATTGATCGAATGCACTGGTTGAATGGCTGATCCGAGCGATGAATGAATGGAGGCATGAACAGATTGATGGATAGTTGGCCTAATTATCAGTTCAATCGATGAAAGCTGGATAGACAGATGAACGATAGATGTCTTGCTGGATTGCTGGTTAGATGGCTTGATGTTAGATGGGTAAAAGGTTAGATAAAATATGGAAGACTCGCTGGAAAAAAAGGTGACTTGGTGATGAATTGATCAAAGGATGGACAGCTGGATAGTTTACTGATTGATATATTGATCGATGAATGTCTAGATAAAGGAATGGTTTGATTGATTGCTTGGATAGATGAACGGATTATGAATGGCTTGATAGATGGCTTGATGATTAGACAGATGACTGACTATACGGATGAATGTTTGAAAGACAGGATGGACGTTTAGATAGATGACTGTATGGATGAATATTTCGATTGATAAATCATCTGATGGATGGATGGCTAGATGGATGGATGGCTTGGTGCATAATTCAATCTTTTTCGTCAGCCCTATAAAAGATGTCTTATGCTTGAAGAGCAAGATATAAAATTTTGTTGCTCCAGTTTGTCCACATCCAGTTTCAAAACATGAGAATTGCAAAAATTACCATAATTTATGTTGGTAAACTTTGGAGAAAAGCAACGTTGATGAGAAAAGGGTGATGTTGAGAAAAGCAACGTGTTTAATTATCCAAGTAGTGCAATACTTTTGGTGTATTTGCAAAGAAGAGAAAAATTCAAAGGACAGAAAAAAGGCTTCTTATTATACATTTTTTCCACCAGTTTGAGACAATTAAATTGAAATTATTATTTTGATAAGAAATTTGCATCAGAAATCCAGTTTTGAAAGATAAAACTCATTCTCATCAAAGTTAGGTTGAATCTATTTTCGAGTTTTCAATGAAGGTGGTCCTAGCTGCTTTTTAAATTGAACGATTGCTTGTGGTGATTGTTCAGTCGGAGGACTGGAACTGTTGCTAGCGTTAGTTTTAGTAGCAAAAAAACTTGAAGTACGTGGAATAAATTCACACAATTTTGTAGTAAGCAGTCTATATTTGCGGTTCGAATGTCATCAGCAGCTGAATTCAATTTTTCAAAAGAGTCGTAACACTTGACAATCAAGGGTAGAATTGGTGTCTGAAAGACGGAAACATTAGTTTCGTGATGTCATATTTTATTATCAGAGCTTAGATCTGCAAAACAATGATCAAATTGTAGATACGTTTTGCTCTAGTGGAATTATGCATTATATCTGTAAGGTTGGTTTTTCTCCTTAATTTTCCCGGGTTTCCATCAAATTTTGAGTAAAGAAAGATTTTGCAATGTGAGTTTTAATTCCATTTAGAAATTTTCGAAGCTGAAAAAGCAAAAACGAAAATTTAATTGCTTTCTATTTGTATTAATTACTACTCAGTCATGTGCAGGAATTTTTGACGATAAATTATGGTTACTTATGTATTTGTAGGGGATATTTTCAAATCCTACCTTGATAGTACTGCTTGGTTTAAAGAACAAAATATCCCGCATAAACCGACGAATGCAAAGCATATGGAAAGCCACCACAGATTGTATGAGGAAATTTAATCATGTGCAGACTTTATACATACCGTTCAGATCATGATATTTTCTAATTGCACTCTGACTGGTCTGTTTGATATCAAATAACAGCAGAACACTCTAGTGTGAGAAAGCTTCACATCATATAAAGTAATTGCGGTATAAGGGAAGGCTTGGTAGAAAAGCGCAGGATTGGTTCTAATTTGCAAAGATATTTAAAATGAATCAACGTTTTTTTAAAGCAGGAAGAAACGATCTGGTGTCAAGACATTAAAGGGTACACATGATAGAAAAAGAGAATTTTTTTTGTCGGAAAGAGTCTATTTGTTCTTCTAAATTTTCAGTTGGAAGTTTTTTTTTAATGTTTTTTATGTTTAAAAATATACATGCAGTTAATTTTTCATTACTTTGATCTGATGTTTCCAATTTTTCCATTGAATTAAATGTATTTGCTCATTGCTCTTATACCTAAAAATTGGATACTTTCATTGATACAGAAAATCTAATACAACTAACTTTCTCATGGACAAAAAAACTAAAACGATTTTTCAGTGAAACGTTCCTTTTCCTATGCTTACACTTTTTAAAATTTTTTAAATGTTTTGTAAGATAACCTCAAACTATCTGATACGCCGAATGGTTACTTCATTTTGTTAGATAACTGTTTTGTTGGATAATTGATAGTGTTTAATTTTTGTTCTTATAATTAAAAAAACGTATTTCAATTTAAATACAAAATTTATTACAAAACCAAATGATATACGGATTAAAACACACGACAAAAACTTCCGTGTGAAACGAAAACTTATTGCACGTAGAAAAAGACTATGACTTCAAAAAAAATTGAATGTCACGAAGTCTTAGCAAAATTGGTTATTTTCATGAGAAATTTGCTTTTGATTTATGATTATGGTGCTTGGAGTCCCATCTGTTGCAGGGACTCAATATATGAGTCCCATAAATTGAGTGCTTTTCCAATTGGTATATGCGATTGAAAAGTAACTATGGTCGATAAGAAAAAACATCAATTACCCATCTAATTGATCATTTTGGTTGCATATCTCTCTGTGTTATACTTTGCCCCGTAATTAGTCAAAGAAATGTTATGGGTAAGAACTTTTTTAAAAAATTGGTATTTAAGTAATGTGCTCGAATGTTTGCTACTTTTGATGTGTGTCCTTTGGGTGTATTCATGTTTAATTGTGTGTATTTTTATTCGTGTGTTTTGTGCGTGTAAAAAAGCGTACATATATCTTATTGGTTTAAGTTTGGCTGTTTAAATAGACAAGGATTCTACGTGTATGATGTTTGTATGCGTTTACGCCTGTGTGTATGTTTGATTTATGCCTTAGTGTCTGTATGATATATGTAAAATTTGTTTGACGATTAACTATTTTTATGCAGTAAGTATTTAGAAAAATTGGAATTTTTTTTACAAGTGTTTTAAAGCATATTAAGATAAGTAACTACAACTGGAATCAAATCCTAATCGAAAAATCTAGGTTATTTTGCTAGAATTTTCAAAAGTACTTCACTAGATATCAAATATGTTCTACAAATATTTCTGTGTGTGCATGCCTATATGATGTTTGTTGATTTGCTGTTCATGTCTAAATGATGCCTCGATGTATGTATAAACGGGCTTATCGAAAATTGTATGTACATATGGATGAACGGATGATACATGTGCTCAACGAAACACTATACGCATTTATACGTATAATATAAAGTGTAGATCAAACTTCATCTGTTTGTTAATCTTTTTGTTTGAAAAATGTCATAGATTTGCACAAGTTTCTTTGCATGGACTTCCAGGCAGCAGATACTAAAGCTCTATTTTTGCCTACCTGTGGCTT